CTGTTTAACCCATTTTCCAGATCATTTATGAATATGTTGAACAGCATTGGTACCAGTACAGACCACCGGGGGACGCCACCATCATTTACTTCTCTCCACTGTGAAAACTGTGGTTTACGGGGGGCGGAGGGGGGGTTGTTTTGTTTTTAAAGGTAAGACCAGCACTTTAATGGACCAATTAAAACTCAATCAACTCTTAACAGGGACAAGATGATTCTTCAATACACAAATATATACACCAACAGTGTATTTTACAAGGTGATTGATTTATTGCACAGTTAACCAATAATAAACAGTTAAGTGCTCGAGAATCCTGTATTATCTATTAAAACTATGCCTTCTAAAAAAATAAGTCTGTACTCAACAGTAAATCTCCATCCCAATGTGAAGCCTCTTCCAGAATACAGCTACAACCCTCACAGACATATACAACCCCTCAAAATATACTCTCATAAATTCAAGGCCCTGTGAGGTCCTTCATATTCTATACTTAAGGGGGGAGACTGTCAGGACTTTGTAGAGGTTAGCCAACTGGGGGGGGGGGGGGACCACCTTCCCAAATTCCTCCCACAATATTAAACACTCAGGTTCAAATGATTTCTGTATTTAGGGTTTCTGGGGAGTTTTGTCTGTCGTCAGTTTTTAGTAAAAAATATTTTCTAATGTACATATTAAGAAATAAAAAAGCCTCAAATCAGAGGAAACTTAATATAGTTCAATGAGCTAAACTAGCCTTCAGTGCAGCCACCCAGGAGGTTTACCTTCTGAATTTGTGGCTGCAGACTCTTTGCTCACATTCCTCTGACCTTTGACAAGGAGTGTGTTGCTAGACTGATGGTTTGTACTGGACTTTCCTGTACATACTAGGAATATGGTTGGGCATTTTGTAGCTACCATGGTACAAATTTTCAAATTCTATGTGGGAGCAGGGAGGAAATGGGAGAGGCATGGGTGTTCCCTATAACTATCATTTCCTAATTTACTCATGCATAGTAGCCTTGCTCATGCTGAGCAAAGAAAGCAAAGGTCAGAGCAATTAAGGAGCTGCCTGGTTAAAACTGAAAAGAAACCACAGCGCCTTGTTTCATCGACTACCAATTCTCTTGCATGCCAAGAACATATGCAAACACCCACACATGCTACACTTTAATGGACCAGTAATTAGCCTGGTGTACACTAAACATATCAAGTATCTCCATTATTGTGTAGTCTTGCACAGTCTCAAGGACATTATGGGCCAAATTCCACCCTATTGTAATACATACAGCTGTCACCGAAGTCACTCAGGTTACCACAATCTGAGGCATTTCAAGTCAGAACTGATTGAATAGTGATGGCTACTAGTTGGTATTTAGTCAACCAACATAAAAATGGAATCATCCCAATTATTACTAATAAGATAATTGTTGAGGGGAAAATGTTCCTCATGGCCCATTTCAGTGTTGCTTGTCCCTCGCCTAATATCAATAAAGAGATCCCTTTAAAAGATTTACTTTTTCTTTCCAATCTGCAAAACATTTGTGTAGAGTGAAGACTGATAATTTATTGACTTTACAAAAAAAAAAAAACTACACTGACTGCAGTTAAAGTTATAGCAGAGAATTTAAACATTAAGAACTTGAGAAATTCAATACAAATTTCAAGACTCACCTTATTTACTTATAGGTATTTCTATGGCCTTGCCTCTGACCTTTTCTCAGCCTCCATTCATCACCCTCCCTATAAAGACCTTATACAAACCCTGGTAGAGACTGGGACTGATGTCTAGATTGTATTGTGTAGTATTTGCCAAAGGATATGTAAAACTGTCCACAGTTGTATGATTGTGTAATGAAAGATTTACTAAGAGCAGAATTTTTAAAAAAATTACTGGTATTTTGAATTTCCAGTAAAATCCCGAGTTAGGATTGTAGGCTAAGATGTGAGTCAGTTCTTGTTTAAACCAGTTTGCCCATCCTTGCTTCCAGTCACAATTGAACTAATATTGATGCAGACTGTTCAGTTAGTGAAACTTCTAGGAAACAACCTTTACTCTTTCAATGGTTGTCACCCACAAACTTCATTCATAACTGCTGGGAGCTCTTAACTCTAACACTGTCATATTCCCAAAGCTGACAAGCATAAACCCTAGTGTAGTAGCTGCTGTCCTACCTTGTGCCAAGAAATTAATCTTCACATCATTTTTTAAATTTTATATAACTGTTAATTTTGAAATCTGATAGGGCTGATTTTTTTTTAGTAGTGTTGTGTGAAGAAATTTTAGCTACAGGCTCTATCCTGGCAGGGTTCGAAAAGCTGCACAGCAATTCCAGGCATCTAGACAAATGACCATTGCCAAATGCTCTCTCTCACCTTTGACCTTTTTCATATTCTTAGGGGTGCTTGCTGCACAAGCCAACAGGAGGTAAGAGTCCAGTTGTCAGGTGCAGAAGCAGTAGAGGTGTTCATCAAATTCTTTCAGGCTAAACAGTGGCCCTGCAGCTGTAGAGAATTATTTTTTAAATGTACTAAGTTTTTATCTGAATTCACAAGCTGGGTACTAACAGCTACTGCAGGGAAGTGTCTTTAAACCAAAAACCTCACCATACCTGGTACACAATTGCAGATGGCACAATCACTAGTCTTAGATTGTTTGGGTTTGAGATGGACTATTTTGATGGTTTACCATACAGTAGAATTATTGTAGAATTCTATCTATCCAAAACTCCACAAAAGCTCCTTGAGTATCACTGTCAGTGCACTATACTTTCTAAACAGTATTGAAGAAATATATCCATATCCTCTAAGTAAAGCCACATTCCTTATACCAGCAAAGAGGGAAGTGTATTTTGAGGATCCATGTTACCCAGAGGTGTTTTGTCAAAGCCTTGAGTCAGTGCTCTGAGGCAGCCATGCTGTGCAATTGTGGGCAGCAAAATCAGGATTAGCTCTGCAAAAATCAAGCCAAGGAAAGTCCCATAGAGGCTACACTGTCAAAACTGAAGGAAAAGGGATATTAGAATAACAGAGGTATAAGTTAGCAACATTGTGAATGCTTGGGCTTTTGTAGTTCTAAAGAAAATAGAATTTTCACAACAACATATATGATGAACTTTTACTTTTTTAAAAAAAGAAAAAGATATATATTTTTCTTTTCAACTATATAGAGATATATAATATAAGTATATTTATACACACACACGCACAATTATTAGGGATTACATTTGTTGCCAACTCCATGCCTTAGAAGGAATGGAAAAAAACCCACACAAGTTAAAGACCTTTGCAATCAGAAACAAAACTAATGAGGAATTGGGGAGATGAATAACATCCTGAAAGTACCAAGCCACACTGAAGATAAGAATAAAACTTTACCCTAAATGGTCACAACTTAGTAGTTAGATTTTCAAAAGGGATTTTATCTAATGCAGACAGTGCATGAATTCAAAGACTAGAAGCTCAGGACTCAAGTCTCTTATTAGTTCAAATTATGATTATTAAAAAATGTATCTTTAATTTGTGATAGTAGTCTTTGAAATTATGTACGAGATTCCTTGATACAAAGGGCCTGTAAGTGATCTATAACAAGTGACAAGATAAAAAAAGCCTACGATGAAGGTGAATCAATCTCTCTCTCGCTCACTTTTCTGGGTTTTTAGGGTTGTTGTGTAGTGGGGGCAGGGAATAGTAAGGGGACTTTCGTTTTTGTTTTTGTTACTTGGTTCAGTCTCTTAAGACTACATACAATGGAAAGTAATCACACAAGTTCTTCCCTAATCCTTTGTCTAAAACTAACACCACAAGTGTAGGTCACATCGATATAAAAATCCACATCATATTTACATAGGGTTGCACTTCAGTTTTTCCACTAAGAATTTTAGACTGGTTTCTCCTATCCACCAAGTCACTTTCTGCCATTTACAGTTAAGTAATGCAAACTGAACTTAAAGTTGTTGGATATTTGATCATATTATGGATCCTCTGATTGACTGACAATATGAAGAATTGAAGAACAAGAACAAGCTATACAGCTGGACAGTTGTGTGTGTCAGCAGTTAAGTGACTCAACTACATAAGCTCATTAAATATGCTATCAGACTGCTTTGAGGAGTACAAGGGAGAGTGGACTGACCAACTGCTAACAGAGAAGCATAAAGGAGAGTACAACACACCAGGAGCATCAGCAAAGGAAAGCAAAACTGTCAGTACAAAATTTGCTTTAACACCACATTTTGGATTAATGCTAGTGGCCCGGAGAAGAAAGAGGAGGATTGCTTTGACTGTACCCTGGAGAAACAATGTAGAAAAAAGATAAGTGAATATAGGACGGGCTATGATGGATGAAAATAGGCTACTTGCATGAAGGGAGGGGTCCGGTTAGTCAAGGAAGAAGGTACATTGGGGCCGAATAGTCTACTGGGAGTACTGCTGTACTGGGAAGGCATGCAATAAAATGGTAGCTGTGGTTTGTTCATTGTATAAATTCAGGCTGTCACGAAATGGTCTCTTCCGCTATAGATAAAAAGGCGAACTTTCCTATGCCTGTGTTTCATTTTCACATTTACCTAAATGTTACCCACATATCAGTGTAAGTTTGTTTGTACACTGATTTTTCCCTTCACCGTCATATGAATCAGACTCAAGATCCATAACAAAGTTTCCAATGTTTGCCAATCTCTTTTCAGTTAATCAAGCTGCAAGTCTGGCACCATCCCAAAATGTAGCTTGGTGACATTTCCTTGAATGGAGGTATAATGATCTATCAATGACCAGCACAAAAGAATACAGAAACTCGCTTTTCATGAACTCTGACATTCTACTATTTTAACAGATACAGTTCTTCTAAACAATCAATTTGAACATCTCCTACCCACATACAGTATATTTAGAAAAGATGTAATCCCCATCATCACAGAGGATGCTAACGCCAATCTTTACATCAGTCAGGATAAAACAATTTCAAGATCAAACATAAAAGTGAATTGAGTATTAAACTAATCTCATGGAAGAAGGAAATTTACCGTAAAATGTTCCTGTGACTTGTAGTTCTCATCCAGGTAAACCCGGGCTCTGTTATAGTCTTTCATTGCATCACTTGATAACAATTCTCTGAAACACATAAATGAAAGACTGTCAATATGAAGGGATATGCAAATCTGTTGTATCTCTTCACTCTCATCCACTATATTTCAACATGTCCCTAACACCCATCAAAGAAAGCGTGGACCTATTTCATATTATTTCTCATTTTTAAAAAGACATTTTAAGTGAATGTAAGTGTTGATGATATATGTCACATTGATAGCCCTGGAGACTGAAATTCTCCATTTACCCACAAAACAGTTACCCTGCAAACAGCTGCAGTTCAATCTTCCTCAGACTGCTTTGCCAATACTCCTTAACTCTAACCTGAAGGGAGCACCAATAAGAGGGTATTTCAGCTGGAATGTCCATTCAGTCCTTGGATTTTCTGCTGAGACTGTCAACAAGGGAGCCAGTTTCTGACAACTGATGGTTTTGTAATGTGGCCACCTGACTACTAAGGACTGGACTGAGATCAACCAATATACTCCACATAGGCTATTGAAGAACTATGGTATTGCAAAGTGTCATCTATATTATTTGAAGGTCTTGAGAAAAACCACAAACTTTCAAGATATCAAAGTTTCTTAAAAATTGGGTGAACCAGCCCAGCAGGCTTTAAAGTCTGAGGTCCAGGTTCCCAAACTCTGGAAGACAGTCTGTAAAACTTGCTGGCCAGATCACTTGACTGTAGAATGATTGGCTTCAAAGGCTGGCTGCTCTAACATCCGTGGCAGGCTGCTCTCTAGGCTTGGGAAACCCAAAGAGAAGTGAAGATGTGCCAAACAGTTTTGATATTGGCTGACTTGGCAGACTGATAGCTGCACTATTGGGTGAATTTTCAACAGAGTGCAGTTCCCACTCAACAATCCCTTCTGTCCCTACCTGGCCAAACTCCTTTGTGTCTAAGGCACAAAGGGAATAGGTTTTATTTCCCCTGACACCTGCTCAGTTCTTTGCTCTTTGTCAAAAAATCTCTCACACAGAGTTGAACAAAACCTGGCAGCCCTGAAAGTGGTGCTGTTAAGGTGCTCCAGCATGAGGTTTTTAAGGCAGGAGTGCATGAGAATTAAAAAAAAAAATGTAAAGTTTGAAGCAGCTGCCTCTTTTTAGTAGTTGGAGGAACTTGGATCCAGCAAATGAGTCTTTGCAATTGCTGTCCCATGGGAGCACCACAGCTGAAGAAGTTACTCCCCCTATTTATTAGGAAAGCTATGAGTCTGTCATGGAGGTCAGAATTCTGTGATTTTTTTCATGACCTCTGTGACTTCAGGGCTTGGACTGTCAGCCCCATCCCCCGGGCAGCAGGGCTCAGGCTGTCAGCCCCCAGCAATGGGGACCAGGCTTCTGTAAATTCTTGTTTATTGCCCGTGAACTGTCCATGACTTTTACTAAAAATAACTGACAAAATCTTAATCTTATTTATTAGCAATGGCATACATGACTTTGCCCATCTACCTGCTTTCCAGGAGAAGACTTTTGGAAGCTATGTCAGGGAATGTTCTTTCGATTGACTAAATGACAGTCAGCCTAGGACAAATGTCAAAGGGCCTGAGCCCAGAAGCATTGTCTCAACAAGCAAGAGCCATGTGATTCAACGATCAACCTTACCCCACCCTCCTGCTTACCCCAAACAGTAGTCAGAAGGAGGGAATCACACATACAAACAGTGATGGAGTGGATAGCCCCTTGCCCTTCTTGACAATCAGGAGGACACATGCTATTGAAGCATGACTGAGATTAAGATAGGGCCAGAAGGTCTCTCCCTCCCTCTTGTTTATTTTAATCCTGTCCTATAACCTACAATGAGATCTCTATTCTTCAACCCATAACAATGCACGGATCTACTCTGGCCTAAGATTAAAGTATTTTTTGCAGGGGGTGGGGTGAGGAAAATGCTCAGCCCTGGAAATCCATAGTAACAATTTCGCATTTTGATGATTTACAATATAAAGGTTGCTCATTCCAAATTATAACAAGGAGTTCGGTGGCACCTTAAAGACTTTAAGACACAAATGAGTCTTTAAGGTGCCATCGGACTCCTTGTTGTTTTTGTGGATACAGACTAACTCGGCTACCCCCTGATACTTGACATATTCCAAATTATATTTTTTTTTATTTCAAATCCACTGAAACATAAAATTGGCCCCACTATAAAAAAAGAAAGAACAATAGAACTGCTACACAAAATTATGCAGCAAATAAATTCAGTTTTATAAATAAAAGAACAACTTAAGGGCTATCTTATTTTTACTTAAAATAAAAAGGTTAACTAAATCAACTACTGATTAACAACATCAGCAGAGGGCACTGTTTGACTACTTTCCATGGAATAGGACCCTCAAATTATTTCAAAGTACTGAAGGTGATGGAGGATTAACTGAAAATCTTATGTTGATACAACTTCAATATTTACATCAGTAATGTCAATTAAGGTTTATTAGCAAATCAAATATTTGAGAACAAGATGGTTTCAGGACATAATTTTCTTTCTGAAAAGAACTCATTATGGCTACATTTCATTAACAGTGGCATTTATTGTCTTTATTTAAATGAAAAATGTTTCAACATTAAATTAGATGTTGCACCTCTTCCCTTTAATAAAAATAACTGGGTTTCATCATGTTGAAAAGTCACCACTCAAACCTGTGTTAGCTATCAAAACAGAACAATCAAAATTGCAAACAAAGCTACTCAGTTAAATTACTCAAATATGCAAGATCTCAAATATCTGAATTCTATACATTTAGATCATTAAAAGCTTAGCCAAATTTTGGGACAGTAGCACTGTACTACTCCTCCCTGACTCAGTGCATCCAAAGTTTAAGGCTTGTGAAATTCTTTAGTCAGTTCATCTCATCTTCTGGTGCACTATATCATTACATACAAAATTAAATGTCAACAAGGATAAAAATAAACTTATTACTAGTGTAACTTTGGTTATGTTGTCTTTAATCCCCTCAGATGGCACTGGCATCAATACTGTTACATTCCTACAATCATTTAGCCCAGAAAAAGCGCTGACCTAAAATTCTTTATATTTATTTTTGAGTTTGGAGTGTAGACTCAATTACTTGATTTCCAGGCCTGTATTTTAAAATACCAATATATTCATACTGTCTTTTCATAGTATATTATCTAATTAATAGGGAAAATTCTAAAGGAAATGTAATAATAGCAACTGCTGAAGGTTAAGAGGTTAGCATGGTTTATTAGCTTGAGGTATTACCTCAGTCTAGGTATGTATTTTGGATCTAATACTTGTTATGATTAATGTTTCTTCCTAACATATTAGATTGTTGAATACATTATGAAAGAACAAAATGACATCTCCCACTAATTTCTCAGAGAATTGAATATTTTAACTTTTCAACCTGCAGTACTTATACTGTTTATTTTTTAAATAATTATTTGTACTTAAATTTTTCTTCCTTTACACTTCCTCTATCTCACCTTCTATTTCCTTCATATCAGGTTTCCATGCCACCAGCTGTGACTCAACCTTTTATCACAAGGAGTTTGGATTTCAACTAGGAAGTAGCAGCATAAGAAAATACATTAGCAGTTAGCATTTTGAAAAGAGTTTCTCAAAAGATAGAATTGTTTAATTATTAGAGCTTGCCAATGGCTGAAGATAACTAAATAACCGTACTGTCACATGACATCCTGTCTTTTAGTACTTCCTGGTTGCAAGAGTCAGCATTACAATATTCTTCCTTGGATTCTTGATAAGGACTTCAAACTCCCTATTTCAATAATACCCTTTTCCAGGTTCATGTATTAAAACACACACAAGGCTTCCAAGTTCAAAGAAAACATCCTCAGAGTCCAAACCTGGCAATGTACATCAGACTAGAAGTCATAAACAGAGGATCTTCTGCCACTACCAAGGCTCCTTTTCCATGATCACCTTCAACAATGGTCTCACTATGTCCGTACTCAAAAATTTGGCCCCTCTTCTGGGCACCTTTTCTGCAAGCTCTTTGTCCCTATTTCCTGGCTTCTAGAAACTTTCTTCCTTGCTCTTTCAGCCAAGCACTGCCTCCCAGGGTTTTCTCCCTTGAGGCTCCTTTACCCCAGCAGGTTCCCACGGCATCCTCTCCCCCTGCGGACTCTTGTCAGCCTCTCCCAGGGACTTCCCTGACATTCCTGCTTCATTAAGGTTCCTCCACCTTAATGACAGCCCAGCTCTTCATAGGGAACACCTGTTCTCCCCTCAGCTGTATTTGAATTTTTCACACCTCGATCCATTTAGCTGTGTTGACCTAACTTTGAAGTGCAGACCATGCCTCATATTAAAGGCCAATTACCTTCAACAGAGGTAACTGGCCTTCAACAAACTGCAACTACTTTTCACTATTCCTCTTATAGAAGCAACAACCACAAAATGAAGAGCCAGACTCTAGTTACTAAAAAAATAAAAATAATAATAATAAAAAAATAATAACAAAAATGATATTTAATTTTGTAGAGGCTAACTGAGAAGCGAAAGTATATTAGCAAACTTGAAATTGCTGCATGAAAACAAATGATCCAAGGTCCAGATTTTATTCTCAGATACATAGAGGTTATCAGCACATACCTCAAAAAACAGTAGTACTGTGCTTCTGAAAAAAACATATGCCACATCTAAGTATGCAGTAAGGAGAACGGAGACTCTTAACTTAAAATGAAGCCTTAAATTTGTGCCGGACTTCCCTATAGATTCATGGCTGTATTACAACAAATTAGCGTACCTTCACAAGACTATTGGCCCAATTCTATTAAATTAAATCAATGGGAGTTACGGGCACTCAGTACCTTACAGGATAAGATGTTATCCATTAATATTTGTTATACTTCCAAACATAAATCATATACTAGGATAGAAATGCACCTTTCCAGTTACTTACTTAACAAACTTGTCCACATGAGACATGGAAGCTTCATAGTTTTTTCCACCAAACTCTTGACAATGTAAAGCCATAAAGTGTGGCTTGTGTGTATGTACAATCTGAAATAAATGAACATAAGTTACATATATTAGCAAAGTTATATCCATAGCTATTGAAATACGGCACATATGAAGAAGACTAAATATGTAATGTTTAGTTAATAGGATTTCTTTCAGGTAATACCTGACCTGTTGGATACAAAGGCAAACAACTGGCAGAATCATTATCAAAATATTGGAAATGATCTTTGTAAATGTATAGCTTTAATAGCTTCAGAATACAAGATACAGTAGAACCTCAGAGTTACGAACACCAGAGTTACGAACTGACTGATTAACCACACACCTCATTTGGAACAGGAAATATGCAATCAGACAGCAAAGACAAAAGAAAAGTGAATAGTGTACAGTACTGGGTTAAACGTAAACTGCTAAAATAAAGGGAAAGTTAAAAAAAGATTTTGCAAGGTAAGGAATCTGTTTCTGTGCTTGTTTCATTTAAATTAAGATGGTTAAAAGCAGTATTTTTCTTCTGCATTGTAAAGTTTCAAAGCTGTACTAAATCAATATTCAGTTGTAAACTTTTGAAAGAACCACCATAATGTTTTGTTCAGAGTTACAAACATTTCAGAGTTACGAACGACCTCCATTCCATAGGTGTTCATACCTTTGAGGTTCTACTGTACTGACTTTAAAGATCAAAAAGACTTTTTAAGTTAATATTTACTTTCCAAAAAATATGATTTTGTAGCAGTTGTCCCCAGACATTAGGGTGACCAGACAGCAAATGTGAAAAATAGGGATGGGGGTGGGGGGTAATAGGAGCCCATATAAGAAAAAGACCCCAAAATCAGGTCTGTCCCTATAAAATTAGGACATCTGGTCACCCTACCAGACATACAAGCATATGCATCTTCTCATCCACCTAGCTTCAGCACAGCAGCTATTTTCAATATATGTCTGTCTAGTTAGGTGCTTATATGGCCCCAATCACTATAGAACAGGGGTAGGCAACCTTTCAGAAGTGGTGTGCCGAGTCTTCATTTATTTACTTTAATTTAAGGTTTCGCGTGCCGGTAATACATTTTAACGTTTTTTTAGAAGGGGTCTCTCTCTAAGTGTACATTATATAACTAAACTATTGTTGTATGTAAAGTAAACAAGGTTTTCAAAATGTTTAAGAAGCTTCATTTAAAATTAAATTAAAATGCTGATCTTACGCCGCCAGCCTGCTCAGCCCATTGGGTGGGGTGTTCAGGGCAGAGGGCTGGGTGTTGGGGGGGACGTCGGAGGTCGAGGGCAGGAAGGC